GTCTTGCGCGCGCGAATGTCCACTTTACCTTATTTTTTGCAAGGGATTCTTGAAATTTGATTATATTAGAACAAGAAATGTCATTTTCTATTGTTTTTTGCAAGGGAAAGCGGATTACAACAAAACAACCGGATCCTGTACACACCCTCTTTTCTGAGGCTTCCTCACGAAAGTGATGAAAATGTAGCTGCGGCCTAGGCGGCGCAGGGGGGGCGCGCACCAGGGGGCCCAACAATAATTATTCTTTAGAATAAATAATGTTCAACAACAACAACAACAACAACAACAACACAAACAAACAACATCCACAAATGAAACTACTAGCTACTCGAGCACCCGTGGCCTGGCCCGTTTCGAGGCCCTTCGGGTCGGAACCAGGAATAATAGTACCACATTGGCCATTCCATTGAGGCAGGGGTTTCATGTGTAATGGTGGACGGGATCACGTTATTCCACAGAGAGGTGTTCGAACATATGCATCGATCGCCACTGACCGAGGATATGGGCGGTGAATGGGAGGATGAAGGAAGGATGTGGGAATGGGGTGAAGATGACGGGAGAGGGGGGGGAGGGAATGCATTAAAAGAGGCGTTGTAGACCAAGGTGGAGGTGGGGACGGGGAGGGAGGGAGGGTTAGGAGGGGGGGCACGCACACTCATGAAAACACATGTCTCAAGACGGTCTGGTTGCAACACTGGCGGCGATAGATGTACGCGCACGATGCGGTAGGGCGATGGGCGAGGGTTCCGAGGGGGGGGCGTGATTCTCGGGCACGCTCGAAATTCATGCCCTGCGTTCTGAGAGTGCAGGCGCGGGCGTGTCCGACCCATCCGCCCCCTCGGGAGGCCGGCCCCATGGCTCTGCCAAACGAAGGCCAGGCACGGTGGCGGTGCGTGCAGCTGGGGAAACATAAAGCCACCGAGCGATCGAACGACATGAAGATATACGTATCTCAAAGGGGTCGACAGTACAGAGGGAGAAACGGATGGCGGTGGAAGGAAATTAACAAAGAGAAAGATAGAGAGAGTGTGTGTGGGGGTGTGGTAACGAGAGATAAACAACGCGAGCAAGACGGATAAGATGGAGATACAACAATCGCGATGTTATGCCATACTATGCCCTGCTGTGCTAGATTCTATCCGTGCACACTGCTACGCAGTTTCTGATCCGCCTTCAAAAAACAATCCGCAACGTTATGCCGCGACATGCTACGATGCAACGCTGTACGCCGTTCTGGCATGCTGTTCCACGCTCATACACCAAGGGAATCATTACACGCACGACGTTGGCCATCTTATACATATATATATGTATATATATATATATATATACATATACAGATGTGTGTACATATGCAAACATATATATATATATACACACACATCATGCGAAGGCAAGCAAGTTGTGCGACGTACCCGCGTGATACTGACCCAAAATAAAAGCGTGCTTCACTATCTTGCAACATTTGCCACCCGCCAGCTGCGCTGCACAATGTCGCAGCATTCACGGCTAAGCACGCTGCGCAACATCGCGGCGTCGCGCGCGTCGCCGCACCATGCTGCCACGCATCGGCTGTGGCACAACGCCAGAACAGCATAACACAACAATAACATTACAAACCAACCAACGGGAGATCACGGCGCGCTCGAGGGAACAACGCGGGAAATGGGCGGGAAATCCACGGGACTTCACTGGAAGTTTGCGGGAAGTTTGAGGGATGTTTGCGGGAAGGTTCGGGAACTTCGCGGGAAGTGTTCGGGACGTTTGCGGGATGTTTCGGGAACTTTGCGGACGTTCGCAGGCGGGCCGCACATGCTAGCGCGCCGCCGTTCCGCCCGATCAGAGCCCGTCGCCGCGCAGGGGAATGTCGCCCTACAGTGCGAACCGCCTCCCTCGGCATATTCCTCGTCGCCCCTCCCCCCCCTCCGATTTCTCGCGTCGCGCCGATCGGCCCTGGCCCGTTAAACAGCGGGAGTTGCCGTGCGAGAGTTATCAGTGAACGGCCAAATCTGCGGCGCTTCCGCCGACCCTCTCTCGTCGCCCACCGCCCCACACATGCGCGTCGCGCGTCGGGCGCGCATTGCGAGGCCAGACGTCGAAACAAGAGACTGCGCGCAGGCGGTGTCGTTCCGCGCGCAATCGCACGATCGCGCTGCCGAAGTGGCCGCGCGCGTCGCGCGCCCACGCCAGCCTTTCCTAGATGTGCGCAGCTTTGATAGTCCACCCTGCGCAGTCACGGAAAACGCCGACAACTCGCACGCGTAAAAAGTTACCTTGTTACCTTTTTGCCTTTTTGTAGTTCTCTTTTTAAGGCGCAGTTTCCTTTTTTTCTAAAAAGTTCCCTTTTCACCCTAGTTCCCCAAAAAGGATGCTAAGTGACCTGTGGGGAGGCTTGGGGGTGCCGGGGCGCAGGGGGGGGTGCCGGCGAGCTTTTTGCAGGATGGGGGGTCGCTAGAACAGAGCTCCAGAGGCTTGGGGGTGCCGAGGCGCAGGGGGGGGGCTGGCGAGCTTTTTGCAGGGTGGGGGGTCCCTATAGAACAGAGCTCCAGAGGCTTGGGGGGTGCCGGGCGCAGGGGGGGCCGGCGAGCTTTTTGCAAGGTGAGGGGTCCCTATAGAACAGAGCGTGGGGGGTCCATGGGGTGTCCCTATAGAACAGAGCTCCAGAGGCTTGGGTGCCGGGGCGCACGGGGGGGGCCGGCGAGTTTTTTTGCAGGCTGGGGGGTCCCTAGGGCAGAATTCCAGAGGCTTGGGGGTGCCGGGGCGCAGGGGGGGGGCCGGGGAGTTTTTTGCAGGGTGGGGGGGTCCAGAGCAGAGCTCCAGAGGCCGGGGAGCTTTTTGCAGCGGGGGGTCCCGGGGGGGGTTCCGGCGAGTTTTTTGCAGGGTGGGTGGTCCCAAGATCAGAGCTCCAGAGGCTTGGGGAGCGGTCTTGGGGGCCATGGGATGCCGGGGCGTGGGGGGGGGGGTCCCGGGGGGTCCCGGCGAGCTTTCTGCAGGGTGGGGGGTCCCTAGAACAGAGCTCCAGAGGCTTGGGGGTACCGGGGCGCAGGGGGGGGGGCCGGCGAGCTTTTTGCAGGGTGGGGGGTCCATGGGGTGTCCCTATAGAACAGAGCTCCAGAGGCTTGGGTGCCGGGGCGCACGGGGGGGGCCGGCGAGTTTTTTTGCAGGCTGGGGGGTCCCTAGGGCAGAATTCCAGAGGCTTGGGGGTGCCGGGGCGCAGGGGGGGGCCGGGGAGTTTTTTGCAGGGTGGGGGGGTCCAGAGCAGAGCTCCAGAGGCCGGGGAGCTTTTTGCAGCGGGGGGTCCCGGGGGGGGTTCCGGCGAGTTTTTTGCAGGGTGGGTGGTCCCAAGATCAGAGCTCCAGAGGCTTGGGGAGCGGTCTTGGGGGCCATGGGATGCCGGGGCGTGGGGGGGGGGGTCCCGGGGGGTCCCGGCGAGCTTTCTGCAGGGTGGGCGGTCCCAAAGAACAGAGCTCCAGAAGCTTGGGAAACGGTCTTGGGGGCCGATTCGCCCGGTGACCGATTCGCCCGGTGACTGATTCGCCCGGTGACCGATTCGCCCAGGACCGATTCGCCCGGTGAAGGAGGATCGGAGGCGAGCATGGAGGGTCGGAGGCGAGCAATGCTCGGACAGAGACCTTCCCTCACACGCCTTCTGGGGTCGGCGGATTTATTTGTGTGTCCCAGTTCCCCTTCAAGCTAGCCCGCGACCCCCTCGGGGAGCGCTCGCACAGCGCGGTATCTGCGATGCTTCGAAGCCGAGCCAGACGCCGCGGTCGTCGAGCCGAGCGTGCGGGAGGGCTGCCGCGCTCGCCCCGCCGCGGAGCTCCCTTCGAGCTGGAGGCCGCCGGTGGCTGGCCGGCCTCGGCCGGTCGGCGCTGTCGGAAAGCGGTGGTCGCTCTGTGGCCGCGTCGGAGAGAAGTCATGGCGTGGGGTGTGGGGCCAGTTCTAGTCCCTGGGGTTATGATGCTCCAACCTACTTTGGCCTTGATCACCAGGACGAATTTCGAGCGCCCAAGAAAGTACCGAAACTCAAGGGTTTTCACGTGCCGGGCCCTGGGAGACACTGTTTCGACACTGTTTCGATACTCTTTTGGCATTTTTCTGGGTGCTCGGAATTATTTCGGGGATGCGGTCCTTAAGTAGGACGGGAACAACATAACCCTGGGGTCAGGTCGGGCCTGTCCCTCTGCAGGAGGTATATTCACAGACAGTGAAAGCATAGCCTGGGGACGATGTTTTAGCATGCCTGACGATTGCTCAGCTTTTTTATGTTTCGCCCCAACGTCCGCCTGTAGGGGGGCATGCCCGACCTAACCCTGGGGGCCCTCACCAGGCCCTATAGGATTGTCAAAGCACGACGCGGGAGGAGCAAGCTGTCCCTGGGAAGCGGTGCAGCTTCCAAGGCTTCACGCTGTGAAGACGTCTTCGCCTCGGGGGTGGGCGGATCGTCCTCCTCCACATCCGCCTTGCTCCAACTCTCTTTGTCGTCCTCCCCTTGCCCTCGGACCCGCCGGCGCGCTTCTCCCTCCGCGCATCCCTCGTCGCCCCCCACCCCCCCCGTGAAGGTCCTGGCGACACGTGCCAGGATGCCGAGGGCGCAGCCCACTTGTGAGGCCCGGGTTCTGCCCTGCCGGCGGTTTTCTGTGGAGAACAGGTGGGGGAAGAGGAAGAGCAGGAGCAGTCAACCGACGCGAAGATCGGGACAAAATCGGATCGGGATACTTCGAAGTCTCTGAGAATCGGCGGGTTTGGAGGATGTATTGGGCGCCGCGGCCGCTCCAGAGCGTTCCGGAACGCTCTGAGAGCGCTCCGGAACGCTCTGGAGCGATTTATCCCGATCCTAGATTTGTTTGAGAAGAGGAAGAGCAGAAGCAGCAGCATGAGCAGGAGAAGCAGTTGTGATGTTGACACCCTCGTTAGGGCTGGGTAGCGAGTGCAGCGACTACCTCACTCCTAGCATGATAGAGCAAGGCGCGATCGAATCAGCAAACTCGGGAAGTGGCCTCGCCTTGAATCCCACAATTGACAATGTTAATGGTGTGCGTGTCTCTCTCTCTCTCTCTCCCTCTCTTTTTCTGACTCTGTCGCTACATCTCCTTGATCTCATTTCCCAATGCTCTCTGCCTGCCAGGCTGTACAAGTGTCGCGGGGTACTCTCGATCAACCAGACGACCGCCCATTTGGTGAGCGCGCCGTGGCGATACGGTTTGAGGTCAGGGACCTGAGCATCATCCCTGGTCACACTACGCAGGATCGTTGGAAATATAGCTTACCTTTTCTCCCTAGCTATCACACGTTCTCTCTCTCTCTCTCTCTCTCTGTTCGTTGCCCCCCGTTGCCGTCCACCCGAACCTCCATGGGGTATCTGCGTGCACGGCGTCGGGGCTCGGGCTGCGAGCTCCCAAGGGGGTGGGCGACAGGATCCGAGCCTCGACGGCGCCGGGGCCGAGTTCGAGGGGCTCGACTTCAGCCTGGGCCTGCTGGACGTTTCGAACTCGGTGGTCTTCTCGGCGGAGGACCCCGCAGCAGCAGCAGCAGCAGCAGCAGCAGCAGCAGCAGCCCGAGGAGCAGCGTGGATTCTGGCTCTTCTTGTGTGGTGCGGCTGGGGCTTGTTCGAGTGCTGCTGGACCGTCCAGCCCCAGCGCGGCACCGGTAACACGGATCTAGGTGGTTCTGCGGGGGAGAGGGCAGTTGTCGCTAGGACCCAACGTCGCCTACGGAGCGCTTCCACATCAACGCCGTCCACTGCGGCTCCATTGCGACGGTATCCTAACGGGGTGCAGTAGTTGGCAGAATTGGATTGTTTGATGGATCGCGGTGATCCAGCTGTGCCTCTCCGATGCTTCTGCGCGCGTCCTTCCCAAGGTTGCGTTCATTACATGTCATCGCATTGTGCCAGCGGCCATGGGCCAAGTCGGAAGTCGCCGCTGCATGTATGCATCTATGGGCACTTGCGCGCTCGAGTAGTACGTATGAGCACTGGGGTGTGAGTATGAACAAATTTTGCCATACGTGTATATGCGCACGCCGCCTCCGACCCTCTCTGGCCCCTTTCACCCTGGGCACTCCGCACTGCACACAGAAGCGGTGCGATGGTGCGACGTGTACGTTGCCCACGCTGGGGTGGGGACCTCCTGGGCGCCACCCCCCTCCTGGGACAGCCGTGGAGGTTTGCGTCTTCCCCTCCGCTCAAGGGTTGAAAAACCACCCTGACCCGACAATTGGCGTTTACTACACGGCCCTGGGCGTTTACTAAACAGTCCTGCCCTGTCTGATTCCTCCTTCGGGCACGTTTACTCAACGACTCCGCGTGTCGGGGTTGTTATCATGAGGGTGTATTCTTTTACCTCTACCCGCCGGCCACGGAAAGACGAGACGATGTGCGGCTCGCATGCGGGCTTCGGCACCCGTCAGCGCCTCGGACGTCCGCGCACGCGTGCGGCGTGAGCGCTCGCGTGCGCCACACGGCGTCTCCCGCGAGCGCGTCTTCGGCCGGGAAGGTGTGGACAGGCGGGCCTTTCTCGGCGTACCCCACGTGCGCGCGCGTTGCTTATCCTTTTCACGAGGGACAAACACACACAGACACAATTAATCGTCGATTCCCAGGAAAATATGGGAAAGCATGAAAGTGGAGGAAGACAGAAACCCCGAAAATATGGGACACTATGGGGAATGTGTTAGTTGTGTGTATTTATTTGTGTATCCTGGGGCCCCTTTAGGGATGGTGTTCGATATCTCGGCACGTGCGGTGGCGCGCCCCGCGTTCGGTGTTCGATCGATCATCGCGCTGCTAGGCACGGTGCGGATGTTGCCAAAATCATGATTGATGACCGCCTGTCCAAGCGAGATGGCAGACATCTCTCGTCTGTTCCTCACGTGACAAACAAGTCGCAGCTGCAGGGGCGGCGGCAAGAAACTTTCCACAAGAAACCCAACCTTGAGACCCCAGGACTTCCATTGGTTCTTGGTGTGGGAACTGCACGCTTCCCGTAGCCAAAACCCTCGACACTCAAGAAACCCAGGGCACCCTGGAGGCAAGCAGGGTGTTTCTTGCCATGGGCCTCCACTGCAGCGGCATGGACAGTGTTGAACAGCGACCCGCGGATTTTCCTCGACCTCATCTTTCTCCCCTTCGTTCTCCGCCACCTCGCAAGCATGGCACGGGCAGTGATGCGAGCGGCGAGCGAGGGGGGAGCACCAGCGAGGGGCCAGGCAGAAGCAGCGGCTCCGCACGGCGGACACAGTCGAGAGAAGTCTTCGGGAGGAAGCGTGAGTGTGAGAGGGAAGGGGAGAGCAAGGGCAACGTCTAGTGACTTTCGGCCCATCCCGCCACCGTGCCTCTGTAGTGGACCAGATGAGTCGGGAGAGCAAGGGAAACCCGTAGACACGCTAACGGCGATGCAGGTAGCGGCGATGCAGGTGTCGGTGTTGTGGGAACGTGCGGCTCGTGCTTTCCTACAATTCGCTGTGGCGTTTTCGTTCGATACATCCGCAGATCGGAAATGTAGGAAAGTGTGGTTCGTGATGTCCTACAGTCCGGTGTCCAACATCACCGTTAAGCATCATTTTCGTTCGCGTGGCCTTGGGAAACGTCTAGTGGTTTTCGGCCCATCCTTCTGTAGTGGACCAGAGGCCTGTTGGAGTCTCTCGTGAGGCCTCTCGGGTGCATCTTGGAGGACACTGGGAGGTTGTTTGGGGAACCTCCTGGACGCCTCTAGGGCCCTGTTGGATGTTTCTTGGGGGCCCACTGGCGGTCTAGGGTGCCATCTTGGCGTTGATGGCTCCTCATGTCAGTGCGGACTTCTCTTTGGGGCCCCTCTTAACGCCGTCTGAGGGGCGAGTTTGGGGGCCTCTTGGGCAGTCTGAACGCTCTCAAGACCAAAGAGCAATCGAGAATGCGAGAAGTATGCAAAGTCCTGACGCTTTTCAACACAATGAGTGCCCAAGAGTGCCCCGTAGCGCCCAGGAGCGCTCGGAAGTTGTATGAGGTGGAGGTCGTGGCCCACTGATGGTGTATCTAGCTTACCCACATTATTGATGACCCGATTTCCGGGTTGGAGCGTCTACTTATCCATACGATTGGCGCCACCTGATCTCGGTGCCGCTCTGAAGGATTCCCTCAGTTTCTGAGGGCACATCCCTAAGATCGTCATCGATTCTGGGCTTGTCAGTCTCTAGGCCTCCTAGATGGGTGGGGTCCGAGTAGATGGGGTCGGAGGATCGCGCCGCATCGCCGATGAATCGCCGATGCGGCTCGATGTGTTGCCCGATGTTCCCCAAGCCGACGGCACCGACACGTCGCCGACGTCGCCCATGCATCGCCGATGCATCGACGACCCATTGGCGATGTATTAGCCATGCGGCGCGATCCTTCTGCCCCATCTACTCGGACCCCATCTGGGAGGCCTCTGCAGTCTCAGGGATGGGGACCCGCTGGAGGCTGGTGACCCTGGCCAGGGGCCCGAGGACACCCCACTCGCTCGGTGCCCGCGGCTCGGTGTTGGGCTCTGCACCACGCTGGCAAGCGCGGGAAGGGGACTCGGAGGCAGGGCAGGAGGAGGAGGAGGAGGAGGACGAGAGGGAGGAGGAGGCAGGGCAGGAGGAGGAGGAGGCAGGGCAGGAGGAGGAGGAGGAGGAGGAGGAGGAGGAGGAGGAGGAGAGGAGAGGGGGAGGAGGAGGGGAGGAGGATGAGGAGGAGGAGGAGGGAGGAGGAGGAGGAGAGGAGGAGGAGGAGGAGGAGGAGGGAGAGGAGGAGGAGGAGGAGGAGGGAGAGGAGGAGGAGGAGGAGAGGAGGAGAGGAGGAGGAGGAGGAGGAGGAGGAGGAGGAGGAGGAGGAAGGAGGAGGAGGGAGGGAGGAGGAGAGGAGGAGGAGGAGGAGGAGGAGGAGGAGGAGGTGGAGGAGGAGGAGGAGAGAGGAGGAGAGGAGGAGGAGGAGAGGAGGAGGAGGAGGAGGAGAGGAGGAGGAGGAGGAGGAGGAGGAGGGGGAGGGGGGAGGGGGAGGGGGAGGAGGAGGAGGAGGAGAGGAGGGAGGAGGAGGAGGAGGAGATGAGGAGGGGAGGAGGACGGGAGACGCGCGGGGCCGCATGTGAAGGGAACGATGGATCAGACGTTCACGGGTATGTCTGGCTTGGGCCAGCCGAGAGGCCATTTGTAATGCCTCTCGAGGGGCCCGTGGGGCGGCATCTTGGGAACCTTTGGGAGCTCCCCTTGAGCTCGCGTGGAGCACATGCGGAATCAGATTGGGATATCTCGGACACATCAAGCGAGACAGAGAGGCAGACAAGCCTTACGCCGGAGCGCGTGGGCGACAGAATACACTGCCTGCTATTCTCACCTCTTCGCGGGAGACGGCGGCACGCCTGCTCCCTCATCTCCATCTTGCGGGCCAGGGGGAAGAGGAGGAGGAGGAGGAAGAGGGAGGGGAGGAAGAGGGAGGGGAGGATGATGAGGAGGAGGAGGAGGAAGAGGAAGGGGAGGAGGGGGGAGGCGAACGTTGTTGAGAGTGAGCGCAGGTCGACGGAGTGGGCGTGGTGGAGGGGCACGGAGGGAGGGGGCAGGCAGAGTTCTTCTCCGACCACACCTAGGAGCCATTTTGGCAGTGCGGGTTGCGCTCCTTTGCTCTGTTGTTTGTGATCTGAGCTCGGGCTTCCCGATCTTCTCGCTCGTCTTGCAAACCAGCATCGTCTTGTGATCGTTTTGGTTATTCATTGTTTTGCCGATCGGCGCGGGCTCCTAAACCACCCCCCTCCCCCCCCGTGGAGTGGATCTTGTCTGTTTTTGGCGCCTGTTTCGAGCAGGTAGAGTCGCCCCCCCATTGGACGCAGTGTCGCAAACAGTCGCACTAAGCAGAGGTCTGGAGCCAGACCACCCCCTCCCCCACCTTTCCTCCCAATGTCGAAACGCCGAATTAAAACAACCTGCAAACCAGCATCGTCTTCCAGCCTCTGAGCGCACCTGTGCCTCAACTCACAGTCGCACACGGGTAGGGAGGGGGTGATCAGTACCTCCACGTATGGATCGAATTTCCTTGCGGCCTCCACGAAGCCAGACGTGCTGCTCTCGGTTGCGCTCTGTGCTGGCTCATCTCGGGCAAGCCAGTCTCGGCCACGGGCCTTTTTGCATCTCACGGGAGTGGTGCGTTTGCATCGTCCGAGCTGTCACGCTCGCGGCGTCCTGGCTCTGTGCGGGACATCGCTGCCTTTCTCCAGGCAGCCTCGGTGGCACAGCTGCCTCAGCCTGGCTGGCAGATGCTGGGAGGGGAACATTCCTGGCCTCCCAGGTGGGGCTGGAGCAGACGGGGTCGGAGGATCGCGCCACATCGCCGATGCCTCGGGGATGCGGCTCGATGTGGAATACGGTGCTCTCTACGCCGACGGTGGGGATGCATCGGCGATGCGCCGCGATCCTCCGACCCCATGTATCGAAGCTTAAGAGACGGGGTCAATGCAAACGGGGGTCAGCCAGAGCGTCCGATCTTGCAGGATCCTGCAGGGCCAGGGTCGCATTGACTTGGGTTTGGGTGCAGGATCCTGCTGGATCTTGCAGGATTCTTCACGTTGACCTGGGTTTGGGTGCAGGATCTTGCTGGATCTTGCAGGATTCTACAAGGCCTCACTGACCCGGGTTTGGATTGACCCGGGTCAGACGATCCCCGAATGTAGTCGGACCCCATGCGGAAGGCATGGCAGGAGCAGGAGCAGGAGGTCGACGACCATTGGACTCGAGAATTTGCTGTCGCCTGGCGCTTGCGTCTGGGACGATCCCGCGTCATCATCTTTCTGGTCCAGGGGATACGTTGTCTCAATCGGGATGGGCATGTCGCTCCCGCTCTCGTCACCGAGCTTGCCCGACAAGGACCTGCACGCGCCTGCCACCAGTCTGTTGACCGTTTGTGTTTGTAACTGTGTCATGTTCTCGTCCGCCATTCCACCACAATGATTTTAAGATCCCGCCTTTTCTGTCCGTCCACTTATATGTAGCATTGCATGTATGCTTTCAGATTTCTACATCTGTAGATCCATATATATATATATATATATATATATATATGAGGTATACCGATGTATACAGTAGGACCAAGGTATCAGGTGGAGGTCGGTTCGGGGTGGGTACCTTCGTGCTGTGTCGCGGTTGTTGGATGTGTTTGTGCATCCTCGGGATGGTACCCTCGGATGGTCTGTGTTTTGGCCAGCGGCAGGGTCTCATGGTCTTGAAGGATGTTGTGTTGGTCTAGGTCCGATTGCACATATAGAATGATATGTATACAAGCATACACAGATAGACATACAAGTGTATATACGCACGCATGCAAATATAGATTTACATCTATACATATACACGCGCACAACGAAACACACATGTATCACTATATCCTCGATGTACTGAAAGCCTACAGGCTTCCACTGTTCAACCGACTACCATGAAAGGTAATTGGTGCTGACAATGTTCTGGAGTTTGTTCGGGTGCCTTGTGGATTGCTCGGGGGCCCTCGAGAGCCTCAGGAAGGCTCCACGACGGCCGTCCAAGTGCGAATTTGCGCGTCGAGGCCACATGGCGGCGAGGCCACATGGCAGCAGGGCGCTCAAATTGCCCGCGAGGCGTCCTGTTCGGGGCATTTGCGCCATCATGTGTGGCTTCCCTGGCAACACCAATGTGGAATAACGCGATGGGCCATTCGAGTGCTCTTGGGGTCCTACTGGGACCTCTTGGAACTGCTTGGGGCTCTCTTGGAAGTATGTCGGGGCCGTTTTGGGGATGCATTCGGTGCTCTCGTGTTGTCAATCGTGGCGCAATCCGCACGAAACGACGCTCCTCGAGCGGGCAAGACCTTGAACAACTACAACCCGATGTTATTGGTTGAAATCATTGTGTCACGACTGCTAGGCTCTTGGAGTCCTCCTTGGGATAGGCAGGGCCACTGTGCAAAACTATGTTAGTCACTTGTTGCGCTCGTGAAGGCCACTGTAGCGATTTAGGCGATATTGGACGGCATTGGGTGCTACATCGGGTCACAGTGGAGCCATTTCGGGCAGCCTTGAGGAGTTGCTGTATGGATCGGGAGGTGGAGGAGAGAGTGTCAGCTATTTCACAGGCTCTTGTCCCTGGAAGCATGGGTGGGCTGCTTTCTTGCCCCCACCACAGGGACCGCTGCAAATATCCCACGTCGAAGCGTCACTTCTCCTCCATTGTCGCCCCCCTCCGCTCCAGCCGAGTCATGCCCGACAGCTGCACAGACGGCAGGGTGGGAGCCCTCCCAGGAGAGCAGCAATCCGGCGGAGCCCGCTGAACCGCAAGTCCTCGAGGCGCCCAGCACGGGCACGCTACGCGGCCGCGCGGGCCGCGCACCAGGAGACCCGGAAACTCGAAGCCACGATGTTTTAGCAGGTGAGGATGGGGGAGCAGGAGGAGGAGGAGGAGGAGGAGGAGCAGGAGCAGGAGCAGGAGCAGGAGGAGGAGGAGAAAGAGGATGGGGAAGAGGAGGAGGAGGAGGAGAAGGAGGAGGAGGAGGAGGAGGAGGAGGGGATGGGAAGTATGGGATTCCTTATGGGATTCTTGGGAATGCGGGTTTCACAGAGCGGGGATCTCTTTTTCTTGGGATTTCCAGAGATTTCGGGATTTCTTCGTTGGGTTTGGAAGTCTGGGATCTCTTAGGGATTTCTGGGGGGGGGGACTTCTGGGATTCCTTTTTGGGATTTCTTGGGGATCTGGCAGCTCGGGGAAGCCTGGGATTCCTATTGGGTTCCAGGCGATCGGTCTCTGCCCCTGGCGGGGCCCTTCGGGAAACTCGGAGGCCTCCGAGATGCTGCCCGGATGCCCAGTCTGCGGCAGCGTCGTCGGCGGCAGCGGTGATGACGATGGCGACGCGACGAGGGCGGGCGGGGAGCGACGGCGAGGGCGGACGAGAATGCAAGGGGGAACGCAGAGGAGGAAGACGCCGTCGTCGTCGTCGTGGTCGTCGTGGTCGTTATTCTTCTCCGCCGCCCCTCGTCCTCGTCGTCGACGTCGTCGGTCCCTGGCGTCGTCGCATCGTTCTCGTCGCGTGGTCGTCGTCGTGCCCTGTCCGCCTCGTTGTCGCCGCCGTCGCGCGATCCGCACCCGCGGGCGCGAGCGGGCGCGTGCGGGGGCGCGCCGGGCCAGCTGGTGGATGTCCGGGAGGGCGGCGATCGCGCGTCGACGACGCAGCCGGCGACGAGGTCGACGACGAGGTCGACGACGACGACGACCACGACGACAACGACGACGACGACGACGACGACGACGACGACGACGACGACGATGACGATGACGATGACGACGACACGGCGTTGGCGATGCCACGAGGGTTGCGAGGGACAGATAAAGTGAGGCAAGGCGCGAACAGATGCCACAGCATGATTTCATTACAGTCCTGGCGAAACCATATGCAGTAATGGGTGCCGCAGCGGTGCGTATCCATTTCGTTGGAGCTCCCTATGGGGCCACGAAACGTGTGAGTGGCGTGCCGAATTTAGTGGCGGGGAAGCATGTGGTCACAGCCACTGGGGCTTCTGGCGGCGCTCCCTATAGAGCCACGAGACGTGTGAGGTCTGTGCCGAAATTTGTGGCGGGGGCGCATCTGGTCACAGCCACTGGGGCCTTCGGTGGAGCTCCCTATGGTGCCGCGGAGCGTGTGCGGGGTGTGCCGAAATATGTGGCGGGGACGCACGCGGACACAGCCACTGGCGCCTTCGGCGGAGCTCCATATGGGGCCGAGGATCTTGTGAGAGATGTGCCGACATTGGTAGCGGGGGTGCCTATGGTCACAGCCGCTGGGACCTTCGGTGGAGCTCCCTGTGGGGCCACGAGCCTTGCGAGGGCCGCGGGGCGCATGTGAACGTAGCCATTGGGGCCTTCGGTGGAGCTCCCAGCAGGGCCACGAACCATGTGAGGGGTGTGCCGAGATGGGAGCGGGACGCATGTGAACCCAGCCATTGGGGCTTTCGGTGGAGCTCCCCACGGGGCCACGAACCGTGTGTGAGGTGTGCCGAAGTGGGTGTGGGATGCATATGAAGGGAGCCCCATGGGGCCTTCGGTGGAGCCCCTTATTTGGGCCACGAACCGTGTGAGGGGTGTGCCGTGGGCGAGGGATGCACGTGAACGCACCGCTGGGACCGTTGGGGCCACGAGCCGTGTGATGGGGCTGTGCCGACATGGGCGCGGGACGCATGTGAGCGCAGCCACTGGGGCCTTTCGTGGAGCTCCAAATTTTGCCACGAACCGTGTGAGAGGTGTGCCAACATTGGCGCGGGACGCATGTGAACGCAGCCATTGGGGCCTCCGGTGGAGCTCCCTATGTGGTCCCTAAGCGCCTGAGGATTGCGCTGAAATGGGCGCGGGACGCATGTGCACGCAGCCACTGGGGCCCTCGGTGGAGCTCCCTTTGGGGCCACGAACCGTGTGAAAGGTGTGCCGACATGGGCGCGTGGCGCATGTGAACGCAGCCACTGAGGCCTTCGGTGGAGCTCCGTATGGGCCAACATGGGCGCGTGACGCGCATGAGCACGGCCACTGGGGCATTCGGCAGAGTTCCCTGTGGGGCCACGAACCGTGTGAGGGGTGTGCCGGAGTGGGCTCGCGGGACGCATGTGAACGCAAACGCTGGGACCTTCGGTGGAGCTTCATATGGGGCCACGAAACGTGTGTAGGGTGTGTCAGAGTGGGCGCGGGACGCATGTGCACGTAGCCGCTGGAGCTTTCGGTGGAGCTCCCTTTGGGGCCACGAACCGTGTGAGGGGGTGTGCCGAGATGGGAGCGGGACGCATGTGAACGCAGCCATTGGGGTCTTCGTTGGAGCTCCCTATGGGGCCACGAGCCGTGTGATGGGGTGTGCCGAGATGGGAGCGGGACGCATGTGCACGCAGCCACTGGGGCCTTCGGTGGAGCTCCCTATGGGGCCACGAACCGTGTGAGGGGTGTGCCGAGATGGGAGCGGGACACATGTGAACGCAGCCATTGGGGCCTTCGGTGGAGCTCCCTATGGGACCACGAGCCGTGTGAGGGGTGTGCCGAAATGGGCGCGGGACGCATGCGAACGCAGCCACTGATGGGGCTTTCGGTGGAGCATCCATATGGGGTCACGGCAGAATTCTCACCTTCCCCGCTGGCCGCTCGACCCAGAACCAGAGTTGGAACTGGAAGCAGACCCGGACCCGGACCAGAACCGGATCTGGAACCATCTGGAACTGGACCTGGAGGATCTGGAACCCGAACGGGCATCGGAGAACTCACCCCCCCCGCCGCCAGCCGCTCGACCCGGAACCTGGAGCTGGAACCCGAACCAGAGTTGCAGCTGGCAGCGGGAACCAGAAACGGAACCAGATCTCGCCACCCTCCCTGCTGGCCGGTTGGTCCAGAGCTGGAACCGCAACCGCAATTGGAACCGGAACCGAAGCCGGATCCGAAACCAGAAGTGGAACCGGATTTCGCTCGACCCAGAACTGGATTTGGATTTGGTACCAGAATTGACACCTTCTCCGTAGGCCAGCGGATCCGGAACGGGAATTGTAACTGACTCCCCCGCCTGCTCGCCGCTGGAACAGGAACCGAAACCAGAACCGGAACCGAAACCAGCGCCAGAACTCCCCCCCCCGCCGGCAGTTCGACCCGGAATTGAAACCGGAACCGGAATTGACTCCCCGGCCCCCGGCCGCCGGAACCGGGGCCAGAGCTGGAACGGAACCGGAACCGGAACGGGAACAGCTCTTTGACTCCGTTCTCCTCCTCCTCCTCCTCCTCCTCCTCCTCCTCCTCCTTCTCCCTCCTTCTCCGCCTCCTCCTCCCTCCTTCTCCGCCTCCTCCTCCTCCTCCTCCTCCTCATCCTCCTCCTCCTCCTTCTCCCCCTCTTCCTCCTTGCCCCCCTTCTTCCGACTCCGTCCTTCCTCCGTGCTCCCCTCTCCTCCTCCCTCCTGTCTCCAGCACGCGGGGCGATCCGCAGCCGTGGCCAGCGGCGCTCCCCCACTCAGCCCGAGCGGGTCGCCGGGGCGAGCGCTGCCGCGGGGCCGCCCGGGCCTGCAGGCGCGCCGCAGTCGTTGTGCAGTCGCCGCCGCCGGCGCGGGGAGGGGGGCTCGGCCGGTGGGTTCCTCCGAAGGGCTCAGGCGGCCTGTCCTCCTCCTCCTCCTCCTCTCCTCCTCCTCCTCCTCCTCCTCCTCCTTCTCCTTCTCCCTCTCTCCTCCTCCTTCTCCTCTCTCCCTCCTCCCTCCTCCTCCTCCTCCCTCCTCCTCCTCCTCCTCCTCCTCCTCCTCCTCCTCTCCTCCTCCTCCTCCTCTTCCTCCACCTCCTCCTCCTCCTCCTCCTCCTCCTCCTCCATCTCCTCTTTCCCCCTCCCCCTCCTCCACCTCCTCCTCCTCCTCGTGTCGCCTACGGCCCCGGGGGAAACCGTGCAGGCTCGGCGATGGGCGGGGAGGCGAAGAGAGGCGGGCGTGGGGGAAGGGGGGAGGGCAAGGGGACAAGCACTAGGTAGCTAGGTGCGCTCGCGTCATATCTGACGTCCTACCCCTCCCTCCCATCCCTTACCATGGCGTAGACATCCTCTCTGTTCGCACAGTCGTATGTCGCAGCACGGCACAGCATTACATGGCATAAAGCATGGTGTTGAAGATCAACGCGTAGGGGGGGGGGTCGGTGGGGCGGGAGGAGGCTGGAGGCGAGGGGAGGGCGGTCAGGGGAGAGGAGGGGGCGCCCCTGCTCTCTCCAGTCCTCTCCGGCCCTGGCCTCTCCTTCTCCCCCCCTTCTTTTTGCCGTCCAGGACCCCCCCTCCCCTGCGCGGTGCCCCTGCTCCTCCTCCGTCCTCGCGGCCCCGCCCCGCCCTGCCGGTGCCCTCCGCTCCCTCCGCTGTTCCCCTTCCCCCCTCCTCCCTCCACATCCCCGTCTTCCTCCTCTCACGCTTCCCCCTCCCCCCCCTCCACCTCTGCCTCCTGCCCCCCCGCCTCCCCTTCCCCCCCTTCCTCCCGTTTATCTCTTGAGGGCGGCCGCCTCACGTCCAGCCGCCCTGCCTTCACTCCTGCCACTCCCGCTTCGCCCTTTCTCCTTCTCCATCCCTCGGCCTCCTGTTCGCCTCTTCCTTGCCGGGTCCAGGGCCGACGGAGCCGTTCCCGGGTGACCCCCGCAGCGGGCACCCTCTCGCCCTCCGTTCTCCTCGCCCTCCCCCCCCCCCCGCTCCCCGCTTGCCCCCCCCGCTCTAGGCCTCCTGGATGGGGTCGGAGGCTCGCGCCGCCTTGCCGACGCATCGGCGATGCGCCTCGCTGTGGAGCTCGTGTTTCCCCACGCCGATGCACCGCCGATGCACCGGCGATGCATGGGCGATGCATGGGCGATGCGGCGCGATCCTCCGACCCCATCCAT